CAGTAGCACAGGCACGTGGAGTTCTCTCGGCGCGGAAGGGTTTTGCCCTGCAGTAGACTTAGCCCCCGGCCACTCCGCTCTGAACAATGGCGCCCTCTTAATACTCATTCTCTTGTCCACGTGGGTCCCGTTCCGCCCTCCCGGTCCCGAAGCAAGCGCTGAAGTCCGCTGCGCCAGCCCGTCTTCAACTTCTAAAGTTTTTGTTTCACTTTCCTGGTGCGTTTTAGCCCGAGAAGACGCCGTCGCAGCCGATCTAGGAGTAGGAGCCGCTCGAGATCCCGCAGTCGGTCCCGGTACAGCCGATCCAAATCCCGGTCTCGCACACGCTCTCGGTCTCGCTCCACCTCCAAGTCCAGGTCTGCCAGGAGATCCAAGTCAAAGTCGTCATCTGTCTCCAGATCCCGGTCCAGGTCAAGATCCCGGTCCAGATCTAGAAGCCCTCCCCCTGCCTCAAAGAGGGAATCCAATTCTAGATCCAGGTCTAAGAGCCCTCCCAAGTCTCCGGAAGAAGGAGCCGTGTCCTCCTAGGAACATGGTAATGTACCTCGGGATCAGCACACGGTGCATGGTACTTTATTGTAGCACTTAGGTGGGGTGTTGGGTAGTTCTTAGAGTATTAATAGCCTTGAATCAAGGGAATCCTAACGGGGCACGTTGGTAGTAGTTTTTTTTTTTCCTTGAACAGTGCTTTTTGGTTATTGGTTTAGGGAAATTAATACCGAAGGGCTTTCTGCGGAGAATTTTTTTTTTTACAGAGGAAATGTTTTATTGAGAGATTAATGGCTTGGTTTTAATAAAATATTGTATGAGACACAACCTATGATGAAAATGACTATTTCTTACTGTATTTATCCAACATCTGCATTTTCCCCTTTAAAGCTGCGGTCTCCTGTTTGCTAAAAGAATATTGGCCAGTATTGCAGATTTTAACTGATTTGGCTGATCCTCCAGGGACCAGTTTCTGTGGGCGTGTGTTGGAGCAGGTTTGTCTTTAAATGTTAAAGATACACTATCCTTTTATAACGGAAGATCGGTTCAGTGGCCGTTATACTGACTGGAGGTAATAACTGTTCTAGAAAAGTGGCAATACCTTGCAACAAGAAAACCACGGAAACTAGTTTTTCCTCACGTCGACATCTTGGAAGAGGCATCTAAGGATACACCGGGTGGGGAAAGGATAGTGTGTCTTTAACCCTTCAAACTGTTTGGTCCTATTTTTAAAAGGAAAGGGCCTAAGCTAGCTCTGAAGTTAGATAATTGTAGCAAAATTAGTCACACTTTGCTTTGAATGCTAATTAGAGTTTAGTTAAGTCTTTATGAAGAAGTACTAGTTTTATGTAACTTTCACGTAGCTTTTAATACTGAACAGGCTGAATTGAAGTTAATGGTGGCTTGATCTACAGCCTGATGCTTGTTCTTCTCTGTAACTAAATACTGGGGCAGAACCTTTACATTTGGCCTCTGAAGTAAAGCTACACACGGGGGGGGGAGGTGGAACACTATGGAAATTGCTAAAACTTAATTAAATTAGGCAAAGCCAGTTGAAACACAACTAGAAGTATGCCTGAAGTCATCCACACAACCAAAAGAGGCGAGGTAGATACCTGGCTGAACTCTTTTCTCTTCACACCTAGATGCATCAGATAAATGAGAACCCACAAAAAGGACGCCTTTGGGGGGAAAAGATCGCTTGAGTCGCCAGCCCATTGGAGAGACCCCTGGCACGAGCAACCAGCTGTTGAAAAGGTTATTTTGTAACATTTTGTCTAACTTTTTACTTCTTTAAGTTGCGCCTCAAGTGGCAGATTTTACATTTTATGTGCCATTTTGTTGCTGTTATTCAAATTTCTTGTAATTTAGTGAAGTGAACGACTACCGATTTCATTATTGGCTTGGATATTTGAGGTAAAACTTCATTTTTGTTTATATAGTGCTGACTTTTATTTGAAATTAAAACCAATGGTAACGTGCTGCCTCCAGTTTAATACTGAAGAAACATGCAGCCATTATATGCTGAGTAGCTAACTGTCAAAAAGTATTCTCAATTTTGTCTTCATTTCCTTAAATAAAATTCTGCAAAACTTCAATTTGAAACTTACTGTAAATGCTTTTTTTTTAAAGAAAAACTTTGAATTCAAATAGTAATCTTCAAATTCAAGTTGATAGAAAACTTTTCAGGTGACAGTTGATATTTGAAAGGATTGTTTTATCCGACTCAATTCTAATCTCTTCTCTTATGTATTTTTGTGCACTAGGCGCAGTTGTGTAGCAGTTGAGTAATGCTGGTTAGCTGTTAAGGTGGCGTGTTGCAGTGCAGAGTGCTTGGCTGTTTCCTGTTTTCTCCTGATTGCTCCTGTGTAACGATGCCTTGTCGTGCAGAAACAAATGGCTGTCCAGTTAATTAAAATGCCTGACAACTGCACTCCCAGTCACCCGGGCCTTGCGTAAAAATAACGGAGCATACAGTGAGCACATCTAGCTGATGGTATACACACCTTATTTTTTCCAGAATGGTAAAACTTACCAACCTACATGTATGAACTTACATATGAGAAATGTTACGTTAAGAAAGAAATTGTTCATTCCTTTGTAAGTACTGATTGGTGTATCTTTTGCTTAAGACATTCTGTACTATACCCACTGTCTGTAGTTAATATTAAACATTTTTCTGTGTTAACTTTTCTCAACTTAATGTCCGAGTCAGCTCATTTTTACCTTGAGAAGATTTCTGCAATTACACTGTCAAATGTTTATCTTTTGTATAATACCTGAATGCATTCTACAGCTTAGAAATTTTATCCAGTGGGGTTGCTTTTCAATTTGGGCAAGGTTAACCCATGTTGTGACTAACCCAAATGTTGTACGTGAGTATTGCACACGGGCCACAAATGGAACGGGGTGGGTCTGTGGCCTGCTGCTATGGGAGATCCACACTGAGCAGTACTAATTGCATTTGTGGGACTAATTGCGTTTGCTGTGTGCTTGCCCTGCCTCAATGGGGGCTAATCTTATGGGGATTTATTTTTGCTTGATTTGGGTACCAAACGAATTGTAACTTCAACTGTCGTGTGTCAAGGGTCATTGTAATGTCTTGTTAATTTGCTATGCGTGTATGTTAAATGGGAATGGAAACATCTGAATACTTGCCACCTGGCTTGATTGAGGATTAAAAGTACTTTTCTACAAATGGAGGAGTTTGTATGTTCCAGGCTGGCAGGGCTAGCGGCAGTCTGTACAGCTGGAGGTAAAAACAAAGGGGCTGCCTTTGGCAGTATGGAGCTGTGGGGAAACTTCAGTCCTGGGTAACCAATCTTACAGGGGTATTTTTTAATCTTGACAGAGCAGAGTTAACTTTTCATAGCCGAGTTGGGGATTTCAGTTGAATCTCTGGACTGTGAGGTGGTTAAGCTCTGTTGTGTGGTGGGTTACATGATGGAATTGAGTCTTCAAACTATGACGTGGTCTGTGGGGAGGAGCACAATTCTGAGAAGCTGTGGCTAAACAATGGATTTATTTTTATAGTGCATGTTTCAAGTCCCTGTGAAGGACAGCTGCTGCCCATAAAATACACATGAGGTTTGCTGTAAACATGACTGTTCTCTGCAGATCTGTTACAGTGAGCAGTTCAGTATTGTCTGTACTGGAACCAACAAGCGGAATAAACTTAAGTGGCATCTGACTCCGCTAGTGAGATAATCATCATTTCAATGGTGTGTCTTCCTGGCAGGGAGGAGCTGGCTAAGTGCTCTTGGTCTGCCCCGAAGGAGTGTAAGGGAACGTTGATACTCTTCAGCTTCCATTTGCAGAGCAGAGCTTCGATAGACCAGTCAGCACTGAGGGGAGGAAACGGCCAGCATGTGAAAACATCTCCGTTCAGAACTTCTGCAGCACTTGCAGGAGACAGTCACCAAACTTAAATATAAAGGGTCACAAAACTGAGTTTCTAACAGTTGTCTAGTCAACAGTAAATTGGTGGCTCTTGGTTGTTTTTTTTTTTTTGTCTGGTTTGGCTCTTTTTATCTCCTACCCCTGGGATTTACTGGGCTGATACCAGGCCAGTTCCCAGCCTGAGGAGTTCCTCTGCTAACCAGCATGGCAGCACTTCTGAGATGTTAAGACTTTAAAGAGCTAAAAGAGGAGTTAAAATTGGAGTATTTTATGCACGGAAGAATTTACCTTCGAACTTGGTAAGTAGTCCAGAATTGAGCATGTGGATTCTTTTCCAGCAAGAAGTAAACTGTAGTTAAAAGATCTTCAAAGTCTGTGTCATTGGGGGAGATGAAGCAGGCTTGGTTAGTCTCTATATTGAGATACAGTTAAAAAAGCTGAGCTATAGTGGTAACTGAAAATCAATACAGGACCAACTGCAGCTGTAGGAGAGGTGTAAGAGGAGTGTCTTTAAGCAGTTAATTACTCCATTTTCTACTTGTCTCCCCCGCCAGTGGCATTTCTGTGGTAGCTTAATGCTAGAATTACCCCAAGAACACCAAGTTCAATAGTGTGGTGTCACTGTAATGGCTGTCACCTGATCTCTTGACAGCATTCCCAGTCCTCCTTGGCCACGAAGTCCTTGCAGTTGGTCACAAATCAAAGATAACTTGAGAGCATCAACATACCTTTTGGGTCAAAAAAGACATCCGATCCTAGAATAATGTCTACGGGTGCCAGAGAGAGCAGCTCGGGAGACACCCGCCCCCAGGTGAGCCCCAGGACAGGTACGTGGGGCAGGCTGTTGAGGAGGCAGCTCCGCCGGCAGGTCCGCAGGCACTGGGGCAGCTCCTCGCTGTCGGACAGCACCACCCGGGCGCCGCACCTGGCCGCCAGCAC